GGTAGGAGGTGACAACACACGATCATATAAATAGTGATTAGATACTGGTTCAGAACTAACCGAAACGTCTAAAGCTTCGTCTTCAAGTTCCAGGTTAGATGTGAATCAATCACATTATACGCAAATCCCAAAATTTCTGAAGAGAGGCCGATCCAAGAGAGTAGGAGGGAGGGAGGGAAGAAGAGGAAGAGAGGGATGACGGGGGGGAGGGGGAGAGGGGAAGGCATGGAGAAAGGGAAGAAAGAGAGAGGAAAGAGCAGGAGGGGAAGGGATGAAGAAGTTGCAAGTGAAGAAGATGCATGGGACGCCAGGGGGTGCCTGCGATCACTGAGACCAGTATTAGCATGGCGTTGCGTGAGGGTAAATTGGCTTGCTCACAGATACTGATATTCTGCCAGATACTAGCAAAGGTGGCAGCCTAAATGTTCCAACTTCGTGCTTGAGAGGCACTAATTTGGCCAGTTTTATATACTCCCTACATCTTTCGAGTTCTCAGATAGTGAAAATGTGGGCAAGTAGCACCAGGTGAATAAGACCCTGATTGCAGTGGAGTCTTTACAGACATCAGATATATTAAGCAAATTTCCTAAATTTTCTTTTAATAGAAAGTGAACTGTAGATATAAATTCAGATGTACTCCCTAATGGGGCCTAGTTCCTAGGCCTTTTGTGCATCCACATGCTCATACGTTACCCTCCACGGGATGGATATGGGACGCACAATGAGCCAGCCACTTCGATGGCAAAATCTAATCTTATCCTTAACGTTTCGGTAATGTGCTTTCGCCAATTCTCTGGAAAGCGAGTACTCTCTGTCAGTCATGACCAGTACGCCTACAACAGTACGCTTCTATATTAATATCAGGTGGTGACAGAATTACACGGAACATTTAAATGGTTAATGGACCAGCTGGTGACAAGCGTCCATTACTGATGCTGTCAATTAGATTCTCTATCAATATAAATTAGTAAAAATAAAGTAAAGCGTTAAACCTGCAACCATTATTTAGCTCTATTTCTCCCTGTAACTTCTTCCGTCCCCTCCTACTCCCCACTTGGCGAATATGTATGTAACCCTCATGTGTGATGCAACAGGAAAAAGTAAACATAGCTAAGTTCGGTTCCCATTATGTAACTATCACATAGAACAGTGTAGCAGCACAATGCTGATGTATCCAATACTGAAAAATAACTTTGTGTGTCCACTATGACCATAACTATTATAATTCTCTGTCAGGTATCGTACTTTTACCTGGGTACTCGTTACAATTTAAAACGTTCTTCTGTTGTATCTATGATTCGAAAACCCTTCGTCTTTTTTAAGGGCGTCACACTTCAATGTGAAAATCTTTCGTTCTTTCCTAATGCCGTAAAATGTCACAGCAGGACTTCAATACCTTTCATAAGAACTGGGACCCACTACTGTACGTCAAGCAACAGCTTATATATAATTTTAATGACATGGAAGTGAACATTCTTCACCATGTGTGTTCCTACAAATTACAGTTACACTGTTTCTGCTACTTTAGAATCTTCTCACTACCTTACATCTCTTTATCTTGCTCCACTACGCTTCCTATCTCCCTCAACCATAATAATTCATAACGGCTTTTGGCACCTCGTTCTGCTAGACGGATAAATCTTAAGAACTGTTATTTTTTTTCCTTCGTGGGTTGATTATTGTTTGTCTTTGGGAATGATATATTTTTCTGGGTCGACTAAATCGTCAGTATTATCATCGCTAAAATGGACGCTTAAATCTCATTTTATTTTCATTATGGTTTGACAATTCACTTTACTGAATTCCTGCATGGCTCAATATAATGTTTATTTCACAACTTTCTAAAAAATAAAGGCTGGTGAGCAGAGAAGAATCATCTCCTTTGGGTCTCTTGCTAAAAATATTTAGCATAGCTTCAGCTTGTCTTTTTCCTTTCCAATTCTTTTATTCTGAGGGACATGGAGCTGCCTCTCTCTCTGACAAAGCTCACTCCTCTGTCACAACTATGATGGTGCACAAAGCTTTGAAGACATTCCGGTGCCAAGGAAGCATAAGGTCCAGATGGTGTTCGTCCTCGTGCGCTATAGAAGAGTCACTCCTTTGTAGGTCTTCTAAAGCTTTCCACTCGTCTTGAAGACGTGCACTGGTAAAACCTGTCTTTGAAGAAAGGCAGCGACCGTGCCATTCCTAACCATCGTCCTGTTGCTCTCACTTGAATCTCAGTCTTTGAATCTATTCTTAATGAGAAATTTCTTAAATGCTTTAATTAAAGTTTTCCTCCTGCTCACTATAAGTTGCTGAGGTTACCCTTTCCATGTTAACTAGGGATATTTGCAAAGCTTCTGAGAATGGAAGAAATTGTATAAACTTGGCGTTAAACGTCTGGTGACAGTCACCTTAATAGACCAGTCTCCAGTTTCTTTGGTTCCGCTTCCATCTCTTTCCAATCAGTTGAAGTTGTCTACACTACAGGTCCTGTCCTGCCCACTACTCTGTTCATATTATTCGCAAAACATTCAGTACTACCAACTCTTATGATGAAGACGCCACTTTGAACTGTGTTCATATTTCAGTCTTGGCTCTTCTACACTTTCCTGGATTCTTCTTTCTTTTTTTTTAGCACTTTAGTTCTCGTTGGTCTACCTTGATTCCATTTCTATACGAGTTACTTCCAAATTAGTCAAATGACGTTTTATTAATACTTTATCTTTGCTTACAGTGAAAGATCAAATACCTCACGATTACCAGGTACTCACTTCTATTCATGAAAGAGCACTAAACTCCTTAAGGGTTAAATAGTGCTGAAATTTCTACCTTAGGAAACATCGCTGTGTCAAACAAATAAAACACAGGGCTCTTCGTCCAAGGACTGTATTTAGAAGACAGTAGTCACGGAAACACAGTATTTCCACAAGACATAATGGTGGCCAAATCTAGGCAAGAAAAAGGGACAACGACTAAATACAGTAAATTCTTAAATTAGTAAACACCGAACTTGAAATAGAAAACACCCATTATATTTGCTGCAACATTTATTCATGACATGCCTAACAACGTCACAGCTCTGTGAAAAGTAATTCCAGAAGTGTTTAGAATTAAACCGAGAATCAGAGGGTCAGATCACTCTCTATAAACAAACCAAACATTATCAGATGATGAGAGGGGGAGATATTTTCTGTGATTTATATTTATTTTGGTAGAGAAAGACAAAAACACAAGACAGAGCACTGCAACAGGCTGGTCCATGCTAGGCAGGTCCAAGTCACACCTGCTCAAGAAGGAAGGAGCACTGCTGCAGTCCTGCCGGCCCAAGCAAATCAGGTCTAGCTCACATGCATAAATGTTATCAGCAGCGTCAATATAATGTTGTAAATGCGTACATTACTTACGTTTTCATAATGATACAATGTATCCGAGAGTTAAGGATCAGCGTGAGAAATACAAATGGATGAGGCATGATAAACGAGGGCACGTTTACTAAAGGAGGCGTGATAGATGAGAGGGAGAAAAAACTTACAAAACTAGGCGTGATAAATAGCTGGCGGGATAAACGAGAGGGATAACAAGGTTACTAGAGAAGGCGACATAAACGAGAGGGAGAACAAAGATGTCAGAGGAAGCGGGATAAACGAGAGGGAGAACAAAGTTGCCAGAGGAGGCGGGATAAACGAGAGGGAGAACAAAGTTGCCAGAGGAGGCGGGATAAACGAGAGGGAGAACAAAGTTGCCAGAGGAGGCGGGATAAGCGAGAGGGAGAACAAGGTTACTAGAGAAGGCGTGATAAACGAGAGGGAGAACAAAGTTACCAAAGGAGGAGTGATAAACGAGAGGGAGAACAAGGTTACTAGAGAAGGTGTGATAAACGAGAGGGAGAACAAAGTTACCAGAGGAGGAGTGATAAACGAGAGGGAGAACAAAGTTACCAGAGGAGGCGTGATAAACGAGAGGGAGGAGAAGTGTACTGCTGGAGGAGTATGAGGAATATTTCAACGTATACTTCCCATTGAGGGACACCTGTGAGAAGTGCCATGGGGCATACCCCCTTTCCCCTGGTTGTTACCTGCTGGCTGGTTTTCCAAGCTGCCAGAATATCCACTGATGGAGCCAGCAATACCAGCTCAGAGTAGAGGTCAACCTGCACCGCATAATTCAGTGGAGGCGCTGACAGGTTGTAAATCATTCTAGGAGGGGAGGAGGTATGCCGCCTGGCACTCCTCACAGGTATCCCTCACTGGGAGGTATCGGCTGAGATGTTCTTCACAGCGGGATACACGAGGAGGAACAACTTTACTGAAGGAGGCGTGGTAAACGAGAATATAAGTTTACTGAATGAGACTTAATAAACAAGAAAGAAAAAGTTTACTGAAGACAACGTGACCTACACAGAGCTGTAATAAACATTAACTGGACTTTACCAGACAAATAGATCAAATTTGCTTTTTTTACACACTACATTAACCAAAAAATTCTTAAATTGCGAGACGAGTCGACCAGAGTCTTGCAGAAAGGTGAGGAACAACAGTGAAAAGGGAGAATCGAAGGGAAAAGGGGGAAGACAGGTCTTCATCAGAGTGACGATAGGAAGGGAGGGAAAAAATGGCAATAGAAAAAATATCACAGTAGGCCAGTAGACCATTTAAAATTCAACTGACATTTATGAAAAGGACAAACTAATGAACTCGAAGAAAATTAACAATGGAATATATAAAGGAATGAACAATAACGAAATATAATGTATCTTACGAGAGAGTAAAATAAAGATAGACCAGAGTACTGTTGTTAGTTTAGAAGGAAAGATAGAGGTGCTGACGTAGCTTGAATTGTAACAAGGTATCTCTCTGTGTAAAGCTTTGTCAAGCCCTTGATAAAGCTCTTCACACAGCTTGCTTTGCAAGTGTTTCCTTTCTGAACTCAACCAATGAAAACAACCTGCATAAAGACAAGTTTTGGAAGTAAACAACGTACAGCAGGGAATAGAGATGCCTGGAGAACTGACTTACCTGTTGCCTGCGACGACTCACTTCACAAGAGTCCTGACTTCACGACCTGTTGAAGAAAAATAAAACTGTATTAATGATCGGTCTCAAACTATGAGTGTGGAATAGTTAGTTTTAGTAACGAGATGAGTTGAAAAACGTGAGAGAGAGAGAGAGAGAGAGAGAGAGAGAGAGAGAGAGAGAGAGAGAGAGAGAGAGAGAGAGAGAGAGAGAGAGAGAGAGAGAGAGAGAGAGAGAGAGAGTGAGAGAGAGAGAGAGAATGTGTGTGTGTGTGTGTACTCACCTATCTGTGGTTGCAGGGGTCGAATCACAGCTCCTGGTCCTACCTCCTCGCAGGTCGCTACTAGATCCACTCTCTTCCTGCTCCAAAAGCTTTATCATGCGTGCGTGCGTGCGTGCGTGCAGTGCAGGTGTGATTCTTCTGTCTCGATCATCACCCTTATCGTCATTATCATCCGTATTATCTTTTATCATGAACACCAACACCACTACTATTGTCACCACCAACACGACCACCACCATCCATATCACCAACACCGCTACCACCTTCCATACCACCACCATCGCCACCTTCCATACAACCAACACCATCGCCACCTTCCATACCACCAACACCATCGCCACCTTCCATACCACCAACACCATCGCCACCTTCCATACCACCAACACCATCGCCACCTTCCATACCACCAACACCATCGCCATCCATACCACCAACACCACCACCTTCCATAACACTACCACCACCTTCCACACCACCACAGCCTTCCATACTTCAGTATAAAATAATTCAGAGAAATATCGGTCTCGCTTTTATTAGACAAAAATGAATGATGACAGAGTCGCAAGACCTGCAGATACTCACCTGAAAGATGATGATAATCTTGAGAGGCGGAAGCAGAAACCAGTTAAGATCGACAGAGTAACCTGCAATTCAATTCTGCATGCCGGCAACCATTGTCTGGAACTGGTTACAGAAGACTGCGCACATCTGGAGCCTTGAAGATCTTTCTGCGCTGGAACTAGTTCAAGGAGACAGCACACCTCAGGGGATCTTACAGTTCTAGAACTGGTTCAAGGAGACAGCACACCTCATGGGACCTAACAGTTCTGGAACTGGTTCCAGGAAACAGCATACCTCAGGGAATCTTACAGTTTTGGAATTGGTTCCAGGAGACTGCACACCTCAGGGGACCTAACAGTGTTGGAACTGGTTCCAGGAGACAGCATACCTCAGGGAATCTTACAGCTTTGGAACTGGTTCCAGGAGACAGCACACCTCAGGGGACCTTACAGTTCTGGAACTGGATCCAGGAGACAGTAAAACGTCCGGAATCGTGAAGACTTTTCAGTGCTGGAACTAATTCGAAGAGGCTGGGTACGTCTAATGATCTTACTGTGCTGGAATCTCTAAAGCCTTTAAGACCTTGCAGTGCTGGAACCTGATGAAGGAGACAGTGTACCTCTGGAACCCTGAAGACTGATCAAGGAGAGTGTGCACCTTTGTAACCTTGAAGATCATACAGTGAGGACACAGAGGCAGCAAGAGTATACACCAATGTGAAATGTTCAAAACCAGTTGTTCAGAAAACAGTAACATGGTATGCATCTTCCCTGAAGATACACGGTATGCATCTTTACCTGAAGATACATGCTAATCATATGTTTTATCTTACACAAAAACTATATAATCAGTCTGAATTTAGTTAATCAAATCATTTCGTGATGTAAAAAAACAAATTTTGGTGTCACAGCAACAAAATAATTAATGCACTGCTTGTCTGGCACAACGACGCTCGTTAATTTCCCCGGAACATCTCTGTTGCCCCCACCCCAAAATGGGTTTAACCCCCACCTGTTCCGTAGTTATTTCGATTTCATGAGTCGGAATGAAATATAAAGCAGTGTGAAATTAAAAAAAAAGTGGGAGAGAAGCACAACATTAGTATTTAATAGCGAAGGAAAAAATGTCGAGAAAATAAATGAGAGAATTAATTATATGCAAAAAAATTAAATATTTCAGGTTTTAACATTACAAGATGCCGCGTAAATATTGACATGGCAGGGGTGCATGTGACATTGAAATACAGTGGACAACGTTATTATTCACAACGTTTGTCTCATATAGTGGATATCTTCATTAGCCACAATATTTGTACCACACAGTGGAGGCCTTTATTAACCATAACTGTCCTGCAGTGGCTACTTAACCACGAGGTTTCGCCCATACAGGGGCTTTACTAGGTCAGTAGAGAATACAAGACAAATGTTAGTACATATATGCAAGACCAGACAACGGTACGTGAGGTCATGGAAATCTCAGGAGACGGTTCATTGCATGGGTCTTTGATATTGCTCTCGGGTGCCTGAATAATTATCCTGGTCGCCTGGATAACTTACACCATACTTGCAAGTTATCCCAGGAGCCTGGATAACATGTAAGTTATCCTGGGTGCCTGGATAACCTATAAATCATCCTGGACATCTGGATAACTTGCACAATACTTGCAGGCTATCCTGGACGCCTGGATAACCTACAACATACTTGCAAGTTATCTTGGACGCTTGGATAACTTACACCATACGTGCAAGTTATCCTGGATGCCTGGATAACCTATATCATACTTGCAAGTTATCCTGGACTCCTGGATAACCTGCATATATGATGTAAGTAACAGTTTTGATGACATGAAGAACTGACCTTAAAACAACAATTATAAAGTAGCGATCAAGGAAGGAAAAAAGGATTTAAGGAAACAAGAGAAGTATACGACTACTGATGTCAGGAAAGATAAAGAAAAAAAATTAGACATAGAAGGGCAGCACTGAGTAAAATGATGAAAGAAGTGATTTTTTTATTTTTGCTTTAAAGTCCAACTTTTTTTTTTTTTTTTTTTGAAAGAGTGAATTTTTTTTATTTTTGCTTTAAAGATCAATTTTTGCAGAGTAATTCCTAGAGTTATGCAGTTATTTGTTATTTTAATTCCTCTTGACAGAGAAAAATGTGTGCTGAGAAGAAAACATAAGAGACGCAATGATTATAATAATTCTCGAGATCATAGAACTGAACGCTTCTCAAGGCTGAGGGACTGAACACCCCAAACCTACTACCCCTTCAAGGCTGATGACTTGATCAAATCATCTTTACCTCTTCACTGCTTTTGCTGTCTCTATCTTTAGTCACTTCTGTGAACGCTTTTCAAGGCTGAGGGACTGACCACCCCAAAAATACTACTTCAAGGCTAATGAACTTATCAAATCATATTTACCTCTCCACTGTTTCTGCTGCCTCCAATTTTAATCACCCCTTCACTCGACTGAAGAAGCCTATTGTGTAGGCGAAACGTTTTAGAAATAAAAATTCCAAACTGTTGCACATATGTCTTATTTATCACAAAGACGCAACTTGATAAACAAACAAGGGAGGATTTTATACACATAGAAGACCATAAGTGTCCGGGGCCCAAGACTGTTCAACAGCCTCCCATCAAGCATTAGGGGAATTGCTAATAAACCCCTGGCTGCCTTCAAGAGAGAGCTGGACAGATACCTAAAGTCAGTGCCGGATCAGCCGGGCTGTGGCTCGTACGTTGGACTGCGTGCGGCCAGCAGTAACAGCCTGGTTGATCAGGCCCTGATCCATCGGGTGGCCTGGTCATGGACCGGGCCGCGGGGGCGTTGATCCCCGGAATAACCTCCAGGTAGCTTCAAAAAGATCTGTCAAGAGATTGCATTCAAAAGTAACATTTTGAATCTAAGGAAAGCAAAATTGAAAAAAAAAAATAAAATGAATTCAACTTTGAAAGAAATAACTGGATATGAAGAAGGGATAAATGAGAAAATAACAATACCAATAACAACATGCGAAAAGTCAGCTAAATTTAAATACATTTAAAAAATATGAAAATATTATAAAAAGTATTTAAACCAAATGTGACTAACCGATGTATATGAATAAGTACAAACCACCTTGAATAATGCATTGTATAAAGAATCATTCAGTGACTTAAAGTCGACAAGTCTAATAAAAGTATTACTTATTATATACAGTAAATGTATTGAAAAGAATATTTTTTTCTAGTGTGGGATTATAATTTACAAAATATAAAGTGAATGCATCACGAGGCTTGTGAGGAAGATATATGATCAATAAATTTTTATGATGAATTAGACACAATATCTGGGTATCTAATTTACCAACTTGTCGGTATCGAATACTACTGATATACATAATTTTTTATGTTTGGTGATGGTATGTTTAACACACCAATATATTAAAGAGGCAACTCCAGTGAGAAGGGAAAGTATTGTGTGACTTAGTAAAGTGTGATGACTTTCTAACGAGGATAACTATAATAGTTATAATGACTTAAAAGAGATGACTGTGGTAACTTTCTAAATTTAGGAATAACTATCATGGTTAATTATGACTTGCTAGAAATAACTGTGATAATTTCTTATCAGAAATAACTAGCATACCATTATATTAATGATATACATTACCGACAAAACGAACAAGATACATGTGCATCAGTCTGGTATCTTTATCGTCGAAAATTTCCGCTTGCTCAGCAGGCTTCTTCAGTCGAATACAGAGGCGACTTAATAAAGACAGCAGCAGCAGTCCCTCACCAGTGAAGAAATAATTTTAAGGTAGTCAGTCTATCAGCTTTGATAAGTGTTCAGCTCCATGGCCTCGATTTATGTAGAGCAGAGGCACGAGAATACAACCTTTTATTCAGGAGACAGAACTGAGGTAAGGAAACAAACCATGGTACGGGTGGGGTTTGAAACCATGGCGAGTGAGTCGTAAAACTCCAGGCCAGTGGGTAAACCACTGGGCCAGCTGGCTACAGTAAGGTTCATCCATAGGGATGTTAGCATGGGCCCCACTGGATGAATCTTATTGTAGCCAGCTGGCCAAGTGGCTTACGCACTGGCCTGGAATTTTACGACTCACTCGCCATGGGTTCAATTCCCCAGTTCCGTGGTTTGTTCGCAATCGTGTTATGACAAATTCGTGAGTCATGAGGTAAGGAAGTTGGTGAT